GAACAGACCTTTTAAGCTATGCCTGTCCCCGAGGACGTTAGGGTCGGGGACGCCCACGGTGTGGCCCTTGACGACGGCCCCCTTGGCCGGGATCGGCTCCCCGTTCCGGCCGACGCAGCCGTCGTTGACGAGGTGCGACGCGTCGCGCCCTCCGATGCGGTCGTAGTGGATCTCGGAGCAGGGGCCGCACCTGGAGGGGGAGATGTGGGGAGATGTGGGGAGACGTGGATCTCGGAGCAGGGGCCGCACCTGGAGGCGCACAGTCGTCAGTCAGTGTGACACACGCCGTGGCGCATCTAGACGGCGCGCACGGGCCCGTGTCGCCCATCTCCCAAAAGTTGTCCTTCATGTTGCCCGCGAGGATGCGCTCGGGCGGGACGTACTTTGCCCAGATGTCGCGCGCCTCCGTGTCCGCCGGCACGCCCAGCGCCTCGTTGCCCTCGAAGTACGTGACGTACAGCCGCTCGGGAGGGATGCGGTACACCTCGGTGAGCAGCTGCCACGCCCACGCAATGGCCTCCTCCTGAAGTAGTCGCCGAAGCTCCAGTTGGCGAGTCGTCAAAGTTGTCATGTATGATAGTGGGGTATCGAGAATTCCAGAGGCTACGTCTATTGTCCGTCTGAGGCGGATGCACTTTTGAGAGTTGGCCGCGCGCTTGAGCTTGGACATTGCCGTCCCCTCCTTGCACTGGCCGAGGAAGAGGGGCTTGAACTGGTTCATGCCCGCGTTGATGAAGAGGAGCGTCGGGTCGTCGTGCGGCACCACCGGCGACGACGGCCACCGTGAGTGCGCCGCCTTGTCCGCGAAAAAGTCGATGAAGGCGGACCGCACCTCGGCGGTGGTGCGGAAGGCGCGGCGCGGCGCGGCGAGCGCGTCGGCCGCGGGACCGACGAGGCTGGCGGCGCCAGAGGAGCCGTTCGAACGCAGCCCGTTGATCATCTCCTCGAGCTCCTCTCGGATGCGATGCTCCTCGAGGTAGGAGGTCACCTCGGGAAGGAGGGTTGCGCCGGCCACCGAGTCGATCGGCTCGCCGGGCGGCGCGTCCGCGTGTGACCGAAGAAAGGCGGCCATCGCCGCGAGCGGCTCTGCGGGACGCTTCGCGATCGCGTCGTTGAGCGCTTCCGTCAGGCGGAGCGTGAGGTCCTCCACTCCGCTACGCTCCATTGTCAGAGAGGAGGGCAAAAAGAAAGAAAACACGCGTTGATGGGAGGACGGCACGCCGCCACCACACAGGGATTTTAACCCACAGAGAGGAGGGCATCGAACTGAAAATAACGTGAAGGGTCTTTTTTTCATCACCTCCTTGGCATGGAGGGCGGCATGGAGGGCGGCGGCACGCTTGCCCCCGGAGCCGGACGCGTCTGCAGCAGCGGCGGTGTCGCGGAGCCAGAGAGAAGCAGATCGTCGATGGGGCTGCCGCCCCCGAAGTGCCACGTCATCTCGTCGGGCCCCGGCGGCGGCGGCGCGCCGGCCTCGGCGAGCGGGCCGAGAGCGAGCGAGATCTCCGCGAGGAAGGGCGCGAGGCCGGCCTCCAACGCAGACCCAGACGCCTCGCCCGCCTGCGCCGCCGCCGCAAACCCCTCGACACGCCCCTGGGCTGATGCGGTGCGAGCCTCAGGAGTGTCGCGCTCGGGCGGCGGGGCCGGCAAGAGAGGAATCGCAGCGGCCCACGGCAGAGCCACCTTGCTCTTGAGCGTGCGGCCGACCGAGAAGGCGACCCAGCCGCCGGAGGTGGACAGCGCGGCGGCCTCGGCCAGGCCGGGCAGCGGGACCGGAAGCTCGTCCTTGAGGATCACGAGCGTCGGGCCCGGGCAGTCGGACGTCTGGTTCACGACGCGGTGCGCAGGCAAGCGCGAGGTTCGGGACGGCTCGTTCCAGAAGCCGCGCCCGTGGCGGTTGGCGATCTCGTCGGAGCCCGCGCCGATGGGCATGCGCACCCTCGACGCCGGCACAAACACGCCCCGCTGCCGGCAGCCCCCGCAGAACCTCTCGCGAAAGGCGGCGGTCGACGCCTGCGGAGGCAGCGCCTCGCAGCCCAGCGCGCCGCCCGAGACGACGTCGCCCCAGCACGTCTCCGTGTAGCGCGTGCGCTTCGGGGGTGGAGCGTCGGAGCTGGCGGCCTCGCGGGCCGGGGGCCTCGCCTCGTCCATCAGCCCTGGCCACCGCGAAGGCGCCGCCGCCCCAGAGCACGAACCCTCCTCCGCCTGCTCAGCTGCCTCGGTCGAGACGAAGCGCTGCCCTCGCTGCCAGAGGGACGCGCCAGAGCCCAGCTCGAGGGCGCCTCCCGTCGCGACCGGTGTGGCCGGCAGGGTGGGCGGTGTCGGGGGAATCAAGCCCGCAGCAGGCGCTGTCGGAGGCGCCGTGCCCGCCGCGCTGAGAAGCCATGCCAGCACACGCTCGGGATCTGCCAACGCCTGCTCGGCTGTCATCACAGCGGCGAGCCGAGGCACGCGTGTGATCGCTTTGCGGCATACTGCGAGCAGCGCAGCGCTGTGAAGTTCGCGGCGCGTGGCGTTCTCGCTGCGGAGCTGCTCGAATCCTTGCTCCACATCGGTCAGCTCTTCGGCAGCCGCGACCAGCTCCTCCAGCTCCCTGACCTTCGCCGCCTCCCGCTCCAAGGCGGCGGCCAGCCTCTCCTCTTCGGCACGCTGGTGAGCAGCGGCGGCTTGCCGCAGCGCGACGAGGCTGCCCGGCGCGGGGATCATGGCACAGGAATTGCACCGTCTGGCGGAGCGCCGCGGCGTGCTTGCCTGGCTGCAGAGCGTCGGCGAGAGAGGGGAGGGGGAGATAGGAACGCCGATGACGCGACATCTCGTAGATTAGCCGAGATTCGCTGGGTTCTTTTTTTTCCAAACGAATAAAATTCTTGCATTTTTGCTCCCGGCTAAGGGAGCAAGCAAGCCCACTCAACCCCAAGTACTCACCATTCTTACAGTGGTGTAGCTTGTGCAGAGGCTGCAGCCTCTGCTGGGGCGGAATGCGCGGGGTTTTCGGCGCGATGCCCTCGGCGAGTACACGCTACTGCTGTGCCGCACGCTCTCCTGCGCGCGCGTGACGTGTGGGACGCGTGCGCTGCGCTCAAACGTCGCGATTTGGCGATAGGCGCTCTAGCCGGGCCACAGCGAAAAGGTGCCCCTCGCATCGGGGGGTACGTAAGGTTGCTAAAGTGCGCCTTGAGTTGGGTCGCTCACCGAAAGGGCCCCCTGGTAAACCGCCGCCTCCTTCGAAGAATAGTAGCTTATCCGTTTGCCCCTCGCGCCTAAGGCGGATCCCCCGCCCTGCTGTTGCCCGA